TGTCAACGATGGCTAGTCAGTATATAACCCAACTAAATGAGTTAGGGTCGAATCCAACAGGGAGTGGTACGTGTTTATGATTCAATAGGAAAGTACGAATATGATCAAGTCAGTCATAAGAATAGACATTATTGGATAAAAACATAATTCAAATCAGGGGTGAAACGAATGTCAAATAAAGGGGTATTGATTTCAATTATCAACTACAACAACAATAAATAATACAAAAATGAAAATAATGAGATGGGTTCTTAGGATGTGATTCGATTATACGCTAATGTAGACAAATGGGTAATTGCAATTATTAGGAAATAACTAGATATTAGTGATTAAGCTAGACTATAGAGGAGATAAACTTTCTCTCGAACAATTTATCCCGAATCAAGTCGATTTCTCTCGAACATCGACAAGCATGCAAAATAAGAACAACTTACGTTTTAGTCCATTCACTCTCTCGAGCTGAATATGTGCAAAAGGGTTTAGGATTCACTTTCTCGAGATGAACCCATGACAACCCAATACCCACATACCATCAATAATTATTCTTGGTTTTAAAACCTCTCTCTCTAGCAAGCCAAGAATACAAAGGTAGAACTGCATTTGCAACTACAATTCTTTAAATTAAACTACAATTACTGATTGAAATCACTTCTAAACAACATTTAAACTAACAATTAGCAATACCCATAAACTAAATCAGCCCATAATCACATAATCACATCCCGAAAATTGGGGTTTTAGCTAGACATCATAAAAAAATAAAAATCGTTACCAAATTGAGTTTCCATCAACTGGGTAAGATTGATTTCGTCTCTACAAAGGTCCAAATTGACGAATCTCAAAGACCCACTTCCAATTTCTCAAAAGTGAAAAACTTCAATTCTTCAATGCTATGGAAAACATGTCTCAATACCTATAGTTCAAAAACTGTTCAAAGTATGATACTTAATAACTGATAAAAGCTATCAAACTAAATGTTCAAAAATGTATTTATAGTCGCCAAAAGTATGTTGCGAAGGGCTAATGGGCGCAGTAATTCAGGCTCACCGATCAACTCAGCGATCCACCCTTTAGTCAATTCCATCGCCTTTTTTCCTTGGCCTTCATCATCCTCCAAGTCTGTAACTTTGGGCGATCTAACACTGCATTGCGGAACCACTCAGCGATCCACCGACTACTCTTTTCTCTCGCCAACTTGATTTTCTCCTTCAGGGCTTGGCACACTGGAACTTTAGGCGGTCAAGAGGCCGTTCGATGACTCGCCAAGTAGACTTGGCGATCACCAGGCGTACTTCTTCATTCTTTCAGCTCACTTTGTTCCTTTTTGCAAATTAGTGTCCATGCTTTGTTCCTCAATCCAAATACCTGGAAATCAAAGGTTTTACATCAGTTATTGGAACAAAATGAGCATTTGAGGATACTAAATTATTATGAATAAAGCCCTAAATGAGTACAAATCTCAGACTCATCAGTCTCTCAAAATGTGCATTGACTATCGACATTGAACAAAGTCATAATCAAGAATAAGTAACCCAACCCCAGGATTGATGACTTGTTCAAACAACTTCAGGGTGCTAGTTGCTTTTTGTAAGATAGCCCTAAGATCCGGCTATCATCAGCTCAGAGTTAGAGATAGTAACTTCCGAAGACAACTTTCAGAACTCGGTATGGTCATTATGATTTGTAGTTATGTCTTTTGGACTAAAAATGCTCCTACACCTTTCATGAACTGAATGAACAGGGTGTTCAAAAAGTATTTGCATTTGTTCATCATCGTCTTTATTGATGATATCCTCATTTATTCTCGGAAGAAGGAGGAGCATGCGACTCTTCTGAGAGTTGTTCTGCAAACTCTCAAGGATTGCCATCTATTCGCTAAGTTCAGTAAATGTGAATTTTGGTTACATTCTGTTACTTTCCTTGGTCATGTGGTATCCAATAAAGGGATTCGAGTGGATTCTCAAAAAAATGAGTCAATACAACACTGGACCAGATCCACTTCCCCACATATATCAGAAGTATCTTGGGTTTGGCCGGTTATAACAGTAGATATGTGGAAGGATTTTCATCCATAGTCTCCCCATTGACTAAGTTGACTCAGAAGAAGGTCAAATTTCAGTGGTCAGATGAGTGTGAGAAAAACTTCTCAGAACTAAAGACTAGGTTGACTACAACTCTGGTTTTGACCTTACTTAATGGCTCAGACGGTTATGTGATTTATTGTAATGCATCCAAGGTCGGCCTAGGTTGTGTGTTGATGCAACGAGGTAAGATAATAACATATGTTTCTAGACAACTTAAGGTCCATTAGAAGAACTACCTGGCTAATGACCTCGAGCTTGTAGTCGTGGTATTTGCCCTAAATATTTGGAGACACTACTTGTATGGTGTTCATATTGAGGTGTTCACAAATTAAAAGAGCCTCCAATATGTGTTCACCCAAAAAGAGTTGAACGTTCAATAGAGGAGTTGTCTTTAATTCCTCAAAGATTATGACATGAATGTGCTTTACCATCTTCGTAAGGACAATGTAGTTGCAGATGCTCTCAGCCGGCTGTCTATGGGTAGTGTGGCACATGTTGAGGAAGAAAGGAAAGAGTTAGCAAAAGATGTTCACAGGCTTTTGCTCGCTTAGGAGTTGGCCTTAGAGACATGTCGTATGGTGGTGTGCTAGTTCAGAATGGATCATAATCTTCTTTGGTAGTGGAGGTTAAGGAAAAATAAGATAGTGATCCTGTATTACTTCAATTGAAAAGTGCAATCCATTAGTAGAGAGTTCAGGTGTCCTCCCGGGGGAGAAGGTGTACTTCGTTACTAGGGTCACTTATGTGTTCCTAATGTGTGTGAGCTGAGGAAGCAGATCCTTAAAGAAACTCATAACTCCAAGTATTCCATTCATTCAAGTTCCACTAAGATGTACCGTGATCTATGGGAAGTCTTTTGGTGGAACGACATGAAGAGGGACATAATAGGTTTTGTGGCTAAGTGTCCTAATTGTCAGCAGGTTAAGGTAGAACATCAGAAACCAGGAGGAATGACTCAGGAGATTAACATTCCTACATGGAAGTGGGAGCTGATAAATATGGACTTCATTGCAGGTTTACCTCGTACTCACAGACTCTATTTGGGTGATAGTGGACACAAGGAAATTCCCTATTTGGAGGACCAATCACTTAGGGATACCTAACTTACCAACTTTGCATGTGAAACACTAGGAAATGATTACTATTATTAGGATTACTGTGTTAAGAGCTTGTGGGGAACACATACACCTTAGTTACTCTTTCATATTGATAATTTAAAGTTTGAATCTTGCTCACTTGTTACTTAATCAACAATTTTTTATTTGCTTACAAACCCCCTGTCCCTTTTATTTACTTGTCTCGGAAATAGTTTGACTAAACGGATATAATAGTGAGTTAAGTTTAAGTCTGAACCATATTACTCGTGGGATCGACCCCAACCTACAAGTGGGTTCTTTATTTAACGAAGAGCGCTTATACTTCTTTAGGGAGGTGTAATTTGAGCGTATCAAATTTTGGCGCCACTGCTGGGGAATAAGGCTTTTAGATTAAGTTTAACTATATTATTGAACTTTAGTCAGTTATTTCCTAATTTTCCATCTTCTTTTGTTTTTTTCTACAGATTTCTACTCTAGTGTATGTCAAGTACACAGAGTCGAGGCGAACCATTGACCCCATATGATCCTGAACTAAGCAAGACTTTGAGAAAAATGGAAAATCAAGGAGTCCATAATAGTCCAATCATAGAGGAGCATGAGGATGGAGTGAATAATGAGAATGCTCATGTTTGTGGTGGTAATCTACTCGAAGATGCATTGAGAGTACATAATCCACCAGAACCAAGGCTGCGTGATAACTACAAGGTCAGCTTCAATACAATTGAATCAGAAGGACTAACTCAATTCATACATGGGACCAATTGCATAAAGTGTTCATGGCAAAATACTTCCCGTTGTCAAAGAAGCTAGATCACAAGGACAAACTGAACAATTTCGTAGCACTATCTGGAGAGTATATAAGAAGTTCATGGGATAGGTTCACTTCATTGATAAAAAGTGTTTCAAATCACCACATAGATGATGAGTTACTAAAGGAGTACTTCTACAGAGGTCAGGATGACAATGGAAAGGCTGTGCTGGATAATATCGCTGGAGGATCATATGGTGAGTGCGATTTTGAGGGGATCGTTGAGAAACTGAAGAAGATTTTCCTGAATAATAAGGCATGAAGCACTAGAAAGTCGGACACAACTAGAAGCACATTTGCAGTTCAAGCTACATCTAGTCAATCTGCTGATGACATTCGTGAGAAGATGGCTCAAAGAAGGACATAACTTGGGTTGGTATTGAAGCATGTGAGCGATAGTGCAGAAAAGGTGAATGTGGTAAATTACTTAACTAGAACTCCACCACCAGCAGTTGATGAATTCTACTATGAGGAGGATACATATTTGGTGAATGATTAGGGGGGTTTCCGAGCCAACGCCCAAGGTTCCAACTCAGATAATTGGCGCCAAGGTCAAGGAAACCAAGGTCAAAACTATGGAAACTATAATTCAGAGGGAAATTATGCCCGGGATGGGAACTACAACCGTGATAACAACTACAATCGGAACAACTATGGTAATAGGAATGAGAGGGCCTTAAGTTCCACATGCGAATCAGGAATCTGGCAATAGAAAGGTCGGGGGGTAGTATGTCACGCATTGAGGATATGATGCAGAAGATGATGAAGAGGTTTCATGCGACTGATGAGAATGTGAAAGAAATGTGAAACGACTTGTCTGGAATCGGTCAAAAAGTTGATTCCCATGCAGTGTTGATCAAGCAACTTGAGCAGTAGTTTAGTCAGTTGTCCACTACTGTGAACCCACGTCAGCCTGGCACACTTCTTAGCAACACCATCCAGAATCTAAAGAATGATGGTCATTGTATGACAGTCACTACTCGAGGAGGTAAATAGACCATTGATCCCCCTATGCCATCTGAGGTTGAAATTGTGGTAGAAAGAGATGAAGATGAGATTGAGGTTACTAGCGAGTCTAAAAATGCTACAGAGAAGGAAACAAATGTGACCCAAAAGGTTGTTCCCATGCCTAGACCTCCACCGCCATTCCCACAGATATTGGTGAGGAAGTACGAGAAGGAAAATACCCCAGGTTCATTAATATGTTGAAACAACTTTCCATCAATGTTCTGTTGATAGAAACTTTGGAGCAAATGCTTGGGTATGCGAAGTTTATGAAGGATTTGGTGACCAAAAAGAGGGCTGTTAGTTTTGAGGATGATGCAAGGTTACAACATTGTAGTGCTATTGCTATACGGTCATTAGTGCAAAACAAAGAGGATCTTGGGGCTTTCACTATTTCTTGTACCATTAGGATGTTACATTTTGTGAAGGCGTTATGTGATTTGGGTGTTAACATTAATCTGATGCCATTGTATATCAACAAGAAGTTGGGTTTAGGGGCTCCAAAACTGACTGCGATGCGACTACTCATGGTTGATAGAACCGTGAAGAAGCATATTGGTGTTCTCCAAAATGTCCTTGTGAAAGTGGAGTTGTTCATTTTTTTGGCGAATTTGGTGATACTTTATTGTGAGGTTGATTTTGAGGTTTCCATCATCTTAGGGAGACCATTCCTTGCTACTGGGTGCACCTTAGTGATATGAAGAGAGGGCAGATGAAGTTCCGTTTGAATAATAAGGAGGTAACTTTCAATATCTGTAGGTCTATGAAGTAGGAAAGCGATCTCAAGTCAGTATTAGTGGTGAATCATATTGTGGAGTGAGGTTCTGAAGTGTCTATTGAAGAGAGGTTGGGTGTGATGCACTGGCAGCGGTAATGATAAATTTTGATGGTGATGGTATTAAAGATTATGATGAATTAGTTGCCACAATTGGTAGGTTCGAATTTCGTTCCAAACCAAAAAGATTGGAGCTAGATATGAAGAATTGCGACTCTCCACCCGCCAAACCGTAGTGAAAGAAGCTCCAAAATTAGAGCTCAAGGATCGACCATCGCTTTTGAGGTATAATTATTAGGGAAAGATGGCACTTTACCGGTAATCATTGCGGACGATTTGAGTGAGGTGCAAGTAGAGGCATTGGTTTCTGTATTGAAGAGGTTCAAGAGGGCAATTGGATAGACTATTGCGGACATTATTGGGATTCCTCCTGGCATTTGTTCTCATAAAATTCAACTCATGCCGGACAACAAGCCAAGTATTGAGAACCAAAGGAGACTAAATCCACCTATGCAAGAGGTAGTGAAAAAGGAAATCATCAAATGGTTGGATGCTGGAGTCATATACCCCATTGCAGATAGTCGTTGGGTCTGTCCTGTTTAGTGTGTACCTAAGAAAGGTGGGATTACTCTGGTTCCTAATGTAAAAAATGAGCTTGTTCCGATGAGGTCAGTGACTAGATGGAGAGTATGGATGGACTACCACAAACTGAATGCTTGGACAGAAAATGATTACTTTCCGATGTCGTTCATAGATCAGATGTTGGATTGCCTTGCTTGTAAGGGTTAGTATTGCTTTATTGATGGGTATTCGGGCTACAATCAAATCTCCATAGCACCGGAAGACCATTTTCACTTGTCCTTATGAGACTTTCGCCTTCAAAAGGATGCCATTTGGGTTGTGTAATGCTCCAACGACCTTCCAGCATTGCTTGATGTCGATATTTTTAGATATTGTGGAGGACACTATTGAGGTATTTATGGATGACTTCTATGTGGTAGGTGACTCATTTGATGGTTGTCTGATGCATCTAGCTGAGGTAATGAAACAGTGTGAAGAGTGCAATCTTGTGCTTAATTGGGAAAATATCACTTCATGGTGAAAAAAGGGATAATTCTGGGTCATCGTATTTCTGAGAAGGGTATTGAGATTGATAAAGCTAAAGTTGAGGTAATAGAAAAGCTTCCACCACCTATCTTTGTTAAAGGTGTTAGAATTTTTCTTGGGCGTGCAGGTTTTTATCGGAGGTTTATCAAAGATTTCTCTAAAATTGCACACCCATTGTGCAAACTGCTCAAAAAGGAGTGTAAGTTTGAGTTTGACGATTCTTGTCTAAGAGCATTTGGAGAGTTGAAAGCAAGGTTAGTATCCGCACCTATCATTATTTCACCGGATTGGGGGCAATAGTTTGAAGTAATGTGTGATGCAAGTGGGGTGGCGCTTGGTGTGGTATTGGGTCAGAGGAGAGAGAAGATTCTTCATCCAATTTACTATGCCAACAAAGCACTAAATGTGGCTCAAAAGAACTATACGATGACTGAATAGGAACTCCTTGCTATGGTTTTTGCATTTGAGAAATTTTGATCCTACTTGCTCGGTACTAAGACTATAGTGCATACTGACCATTCTGCACTGAGGTATCTGATTTATAAAAAGGATGCAAGACCGAGGTTGATTAGATGTATATTATTGTTGCAAGAGTTCCATTTTGAGGTGAAGGACAACTGGGGGACAAAAAATTAGGTTGCCGATCATTTGTCCAGATTTGAGGAGGAAGCTATGTGCAAGTTAGTAGATGGGGTTGAGACTAATGATGCATTCCCAGATGAACAAGTATTGGTTACTTCTTATGATCTTATTCCTTTGTTCACAGATTTTGCTAACTACTTGGCAAGTGATTTGGTTCATCGGATTTGTCATTCCACCAAAGGAAAAAGTTTATGTATGATGTGAAGAAGTTCTTTTGGGAAGAGCCTTACTTGTTTCGTATTTGTGCTGATGGGATTAGTCGTCGTTGTGTGCCCGAGGTTGGGATGATGAGTATACTAGAGGCGTGTCATTCATCACATGTTTGTGGGCATCATAGTGGTATTCGGACTGCTCATAAAATCTTGCAGTGTAGGTATTACTAGCCTACCATCCACCAAGATGCTCATGAAGTATATTTTTGTTGCGGTTGACTATGTATCAAAATGGGTGGAAGCAATTGCGCTTTCAAACAATGAGGGTAAGAGTGTCACCGCCTTCCTGAAAAAGAGCATCTTCTCCAAATTTGGTACACCTAGGGGCAATTATCAGCGATGGAGGTTCTCACTTTTGTAATAAGTTGTTCAAGGCGTTGCTAGAGAAATATGGAGTTCGTCACAATGTAACTACTCCTTACCATCCGCAGTCTAGTGAGCAAGTTGAAGTGTCAAACAGAGAGAAAGAAAATCCTTGCAAAGACTGTGAATGCCAACTCAAGAAGGCTTGATGATGCTCTATGGGCCTATTGCACCGCATTCAAGACTCCCATAGGTATGTCCCCCTACCAACTTGTATATGGGAAGTCATGCCATTTTCCGGTAGAACTAGAGCATAAGGCCAAGTGGGCGCTAAAGAATTTGAATTTGGATTGGGGCGGTGCATCGAGTCAAAGAATGAATGACATGAATGAGCTTGATGAGTTTTGCCTAAAAGCATATGAAAGTTCAGCCTTGTACAAGGAAAATAATAGGAATAAGTGGAATAATAAATTTTGAGACATTTAAGTTTTTACAATAAATAATATAAATGAATGGAGACAGTAGTAATTGACACTTTTTAAAATAATAATAATAAATTAAAATATAGTGAAATTTATCAAAAAAAAAAAAAAAAAAAAAAAGTAAATAAGATCTTTGGTAAAGAGAGGTGACATATCACCTTTTCTATGGTTAGGAAATAGGAAAATGATAAGTTATTAATAGTGATAATTGAGGAACTAATTCTTATATTTTTTTTTTCATTTTTTCTGGATTAATTCTTACATTAGTTACATAGAAATAGGGAGAAACCAAAAAATAGGAGGAAACAAAAAAGATAAGTTAAATATTGCATTAAAATGTGAGAGTAAATAAAAAATTCTTAAAACTTAAAAAGATGCATTCTAATATTAAGTTAAAAGATGTGTTGTTTCATTCAAGTTTTATATAAACATAAACTTATGACCTTCTATATTGTTTTTTTTTAGAAAATGGAAGTATTGATATAATGTTTTTAGTTTCTTCAGTTTTTCTTAAGAATTACACAAATGCTCTAGTTTGTTGTCAATTTTTTTTAATTCATAGCTTGGATAACACTCTTTTTTTTGTAAGTTATCAAATTTTCTCTCTTTAAAATAATTCTAATTGTAGTGTCGATTTTAGGAATGCACATAAACATGCAAATAAACAGTAACTTCAAGTATATAATGATCGTTTTAGGATGATACAAAAAGCTATCATAATAAAAATTCGCAAGAACTAATCATAGTTTTGCCTAATGACTTACGTATGTACAACTATAGTCATACATAAAAGAAGAAGATTTCTTTATCAAGTTTATCTGTCTTAATCTTCTGTAACAACCCATTTGGTCATTTTGAGTACTAGAGTTTATTTTATTTCATAAAATACTTTCCGATAGATTCTAAAGGGGCTATTTTAGGCTATTCATAACCACAATTATGAAATTAAGGGGATAGTTTAAATAATTAAATTAGTTGGGGGTAAAAAAAATAACATTTAAGATAAATAGTGGACCATTTTTATAACTGAGTCATGTATAATAATTAGGGTAAAGAAACAATCTGTAAAACAAGGTCATGTTGAGTACTGACCAGTTAAGGCACTAAATATGACTTGGGCAGCATTTTTCTAGCTTCTTTATGAAAAGGTATATATCCCAAACTTTGAGAAATAGTAAGAGAGATGAGTTACTGAATATAGAGCAACGGAAGATATTAGTTGATCCTATGAGGGTAAATTTCATGCTTATTCCATATATTCGACTCAGCTTTGCTTCAGTACGGAAGAGCGAGTTCGCTGCTTTATGAAAGGATTGAGGTCATATTTATTGATTCAAGCTTTATAGGTGGCTATTTCAGCAAAATCTTTTCAGGAAGTTGTTGATTTTGTGATGGAGGTAGAAAGGGTGAAGTCAGATGACATTGCCAAGATGACAACATTCAAAAAGTTTCGTAAGGGACAGCTAGATAATAAACACCATTACTTTGGGAAAAATATAGTTAGTAAAGTTGTCATAACATGTATGGGTTACTTAGCGAATGATGAAATTATGTTGCACTAATTGAGGTCAGAATCTCTACGACAATTTCATAGATTGAGTGTATATCAAAGAGGTTCATGATACGACTATTTCAATAATACCGATGCTTACTTGGTTAGATTTATGAAGTGTGTTACTTTTGTTATCGACCTGATCTAAGAAAGAATGCAAATTGCTTAGACTATTTGGGTGCGATCTTATCAATAGGTATAATGTGTTCTAGTGAGGTATCTAACGGACTTTCATGGTGTGGTAGTACTAGTGTTATGTTGAAATGAACACATCGATTATCACGTATGAATACAAACTACTTAAAGAGTTATCAGTTGTATGACATGTTCGTATGATGAGATTTGATGTCGCATTCATATTTGAGAAGCCAAGTAGCTTATTACTACAGACGAATGGGTTAAGCATTGTTTATAAGGGAAATTTTAGTGGTGGATCGTTGATTCAATATTAATGTGTTAGGTTGAGAAGTGTATCCCGAGGGTTCTAAATGCGGACTGGTGATTTCATCTTAAGGACCAAGCGAATTGATAGATACCAAAATGACAAACTTATGGGTAAAGTAAGTCCCAAAGAGTATACTTGTGTGAAGATGATTGAAAATTTTAGTAAAAAAGTGCATATAAAAGTGGGTTAGTCCTTAGGATTTAATTGGTATAAGTGGGTTTAATGTGTCATATTTATGAAAAGGTTGACCTCGTGGTGATGACAAGAGCTAACTAAGCATGACGGTAATAAGCGTTCATGATGAATTGTG